GGAGTTTTTTAGCATGTTTGTACAAATACTGTCGCAATTTTTTCACCGTGATATAGGAATCTGAACTATAGGAACCCATGTTATAGGGGGATCGACTGTAATTAAACATGTCCTGGGAAAATATGAAATGTGAAAGTAAGCATTAAAATATGTTTCTTACACTTTCACATAGAAATAAACAACAAAAAAAGACACGCATGCAATTTACCAAAGACTTCCAACATCCAAATGATGCAAAATTACATCATTTGGATGTTGGAAAAATGCAATATTGATGCAAAATTGCATCATTTGGCAGCAAAAATATTAATATAGAAATTAATTTCATATTTTTTATAAAAATATTGTCAAATATAAACATCTTACAAAACCAGATACATTACAATGAAGCTATACCAACTGCTGTATAATATTGAGCTATATATCAGCAATAATAATTAGGGATGTTTTTATTAAAATTTTGTTACTAGATTTTAAATGTTTTTGATTGATTGTAATTAGTTCCAGTAATTTGGTAAGAAGCTAATGTTAATCTGTACAAGCTATGATGGCTAAGTTATACAAAAAACTGGTACTAGCCCTGACTAGGGCTAATGCTTAATTTAAATTCCTTTTGGAGTGCCAGAAGAACAAAGTTTTTCCTAAGCCTTAGAAATATACAAGGCCGGCCTGATTGGCAATTGCATTAACTTTAAAGACTGTTTATAAAAGACTTGTTGTTTTAGATATGTAATTATTAATTAATCAGGATATAACCCAAAATAGCCTGGTATAAAATGATTTAATTAATATAGTAGTTTGGGCTTAGTTGTGTGTTTTTGACTTTGTAAAGGGAAAACCTGTTAATATGCTGATTGTGACCACATATATTAGATCGTAGATTTATTGCTCAAAGAATAAAGCTGTCAACATGAAATGCTTGTCAGAAAAATATATAGCTGGAATCAGTTTATTCAGAAAATATGGCTGAACCATCAAAATCTATGCAATAGTAAAACTTGCTAAGCTAATAGAAGGGGAAGATTTTTGAAGATATAACTACTGAAGATGTTCAAGAATTACTGATACAAAGAAAAGGCTGGTAAAGAATATTTAGCAGAAATGGAATCATAGTAAATCAAATCAGAAGTTTCATTTCTACTATCATCCTCTGAATATACGTTTTAAATTTTACATTAAAAAGTATACAGGAAGGCATAAACATAACCAAGCAATTACAATCTTATTTTTTGAGTGTTGATTCTATTGAAAGGAGCAAAAAGTTCAAAAGAATGCTTGAAATCAAATGTTATGACCATATCAGCCTACTATGGAACTAATTAATTAATCAGATATTGCACTTTGGACTACAGAATCACTTTGGATAGGCTGTAATAATTTTATTACTCCCTATCTACTGATCTAGTCCAAATTGCTTAAGATCTGATTAATTAGTCTCATAGTAGGCCTAATAAGAATCTGGCTTTAACATTTGATTAGTAATATTTATCAGGTGATTGTGTATCTGCTTAACTTTCTACAATGAATATTACAAGGCTCTAGCAAGCAAAAGTAAACAAATCTAGATACTGCAGAAAAAAAAATTCAGGCGGTGAATCTTCACCTCCTGAATTTTTTTTTCTGCAGTATCTAGATTTGTTTACTTTTGCTTGCTAGAGCCTTGTAATATTCATTGTAGAAAGTTAAGCAGATACACAATCACCTGATAGCCTGCAACAGAGAAAATATTTTTATTAGATAGTGCTTAGCAGTGATGAAAATTAAATGCGTGTTCTATACAGTACATTATTTGATACATGTAACATGAGTTGTAAGATGTTTATTTAGTTATTAATATTTTTAATATAAATTATATTTCCTAAAGTTATAAAAGTAAAATTGTTTATTTTTGTTAGTTTTACAGATTCTTATTCTTTTATAACAGTTTTGCACTAATTACTGTGTTACAAGATTTATCTGTATTTACACATTTCACAACTTATAATTTGTCATTTATTGTTAAGCTTATAAATAGTTGCCAAGATCGTATAATTAAGATTAAATATAAATATTTAAAAAAGAAAACATGTTGTAATTAATAAAATATACATAAATACAATTCTTGTAGCCTTAAGATTTGAACATTGTTTTGAAACCAATAAAACAGAGTATACTTGTTCACTTAGACAAAGTTTTATTGCTAACAGATCAGAAAGGCTCTACATTTCAAATTACCTGTTTGTCTAATGGTTAATTCTGGAACAGTGTGGCTAAATGATTGATCCTTTTGGACCATAGATAGGTCCGAAATACAATGACAGAAAATTTGGGTTAGAAGAAAATGACGATTGGTCAGATAAAAATTATTTTTAAAATATTCCTTGTTTTGAGAGTATACTCTCAAAAAATAGTACAACACGGTTTCAAAAAACAAATATTTTTTTGTTTTATTTTATCTTAATAAAATACTGTTGATCCTCAATTTTATTGACTCTTATTTAACTGGATGTAACAGATATTTAAAACAGTGAATCAAATCTACTTGTTCCAAAGAATATGTTGGAATGGAATCTCAATATTTAAAAATATTAGACTGCTGTTAATGCACGAATATTTTTTTGTGTGTCAAAGCTATTGTTTATGATCCTGCTTGGAAGTGTGATTTTTGCTTTCCTTATATACACCAAAATTTAGGCTGTTTTTTTCTCTTATCTCATATGAATTGATTTTTAGTTAACCATGACATCTTTAAATACAACAGACAATCAGTATTATTGGATCATTTTTCCTCTATTAGTCTAGTATATCTAGGATCCAACAGTATATGAAAATTAATTATTGCTGATTTTTGTATATTAAATTATTATGTTAAAATATGGTTTTTTTATATTCATATTTACAAAATTATGTGATAAACAGAAACACAATTTTATAACTTTTATAATTATAAAAGTGAATGATTATATCTGGCAAATATTGCTAATTTTAGCTTGGTACTAAACAACTTTATAAGTATGTTAGAATGAAGCTCATTACACAATGCAGTGCAAATGTTATTATCAAAATGCACTTTCTGTTGATAGTTGATCTAATATATTATAGTTTCAGAGCAACATTGTGTAATGAAAAAAATTAGAGAAAATTTCAAATTTTTAATATTCCAACATGTTTCTTGTCTTATGAACATTCTTTGGTTTTCCTTAAACTGTAGCTATATTTATGATACAATTGTATAAAACAATATTTATAAATATAGTCCTGGTTTTTTATTTTTAGTTAGCATATCAGTAATATAAATACAGGTATAACAATTTTATCATAGAAATAAAGGTTATAGTAGTGATTAGAATGAAAACAGAAAACTTTTCAAAGTTCTTGAGATAAAACATAGTATTTTTTTAAGTATTATTAAATTTAAGATATAATAAGTTAAATGATATTATTAAAAACATTTCTGTAAAAGACATCAAGATCTTGCATTTTTCTTAACTGTTAATTCAATAAAGATTTTTTATTGAAACAAGTATCATTATAATATTTTTGTATAAAATATAAAACATTTTGCAAACTATTAATACTTAGTAACGTAAGGTTTCCATATTCTTAAGTTCAGAAAGTTATAATTTATTGTAAAAATTTATATTGATAGAATAGAATTAATTTTTGTGAAAAGTTATAGGTTGTCTGTATATTTATTATATATTTCAGTTGTCATAACTTTGTTAAAAGATAGGTGGTGATGTCATCTTGTTTAAATATGAATAATTAGAAATTTAGTTTGATTTAATTTAAAACCTCTTTAAAAAAAACTTTCCTAGCTAGGTAAATTGGTCAAGTTGTGTGGATGATTTAGGCTTACATACAGAATAATGACAAATACTAAATTATTAACTGATTTAATGTTAAATGCTTTATAAATATTGGAAAAATAAAGTAACTTTGTTAAAATAAATTGTGGTTTATTTTTATCAAGTTTGTCTTTTTGATGTGCTTAAAAGATCTTAATATTAAAAGACAGTTTTGGAATACAAATCAAAGATTAAGTACTTTTGACCAAATTATAACAACAATTTAATCATAAAAAGTATAATTATAGCCCAAAAATTTAGTATAAAATGAGATTTAATCAGATTATTCTTTTAAAATTTTGTATGGTAAAGCAGTTGACTTGAATAATGCAATTTCTGCTTTTTGACATGTTAGAATATAATGTAAACCAGAAGTTCCCAATCTTTTCAAGTAATTAACCTTTCAACCTTTTAATAATTTTTCTGTTGACTCCTTTCAATATACAAGTATATACATGCTGCAACAACTGCCCTATATAATTTTTTAAAAGGTATCTTCCTAAATTTGTTTGAAAGCAAAAAATATATAAAATTTTTTGATAAATCTTTTATATTTGAAAATGATAGTGGAAATTTTTATTAAGAAGTTTTAAATAATTATATTTACTAATTTAATATATATGTGTATAAATATAATTTGTATATCCTCTTTCCCTATTATTAATTTTTGGGTACTTGCCTCGCTGAAAACAAATCTTAGTTTGTCTGTATTCATTTACTGCACCAAAATTAAAAAAATAGAAAATATAAATTATAAAACAATATGTAATTGAATTATTGTATTGAATTGAAAGTTTAATGCAAAGGTTGTGCCTGATGGGTTGCAGCAAAATTTTAACTTCTTTGAAAGTTATATTTAAGTAAAAAAATAATTAAACAATATTAAAATACTATAAATGCATGTACAATACTTATTTAATTTGCTCATTTATTCCTAAGAATCAGTTCGGAATACCTAATGTAAACACATTAGGTTTTCTGAAGGTATATTTTAAATCTTATTAAAAAGAGATTTAAAACATATGTTTACTTTATATCATTACTTAGATTTAAATACAAATAATAACACTGCTATTTTTTCACAATTTTATTTTTATTCTATTTTGATTTTTACAGCAAAAAAGTTTATTTTTCATTTTCAAATATTTTTAATACCTTTTATCATCTTTACAGTGTTATGAAGACCCACAATGCATAATGCTAACAACTATACCATCATCAAATTTGCTCATGATTGACCGTTGAAAGCATATAATGATAATTTGGTGATGGCAACAAAAGCACCATATTATTATAGTGAAATATTTCCAAATAAAAACGCACAGTCATCTAATGACAAAATAGGAAATATAAAGGCAGATGATATATCGAGCCCTGATAAATCACGTGGATTTCATAATCCATTATTATCTATTGAACCAGATATTTCAACATCAGATATACTAGAGAAACCATCAGTATTTCAAAAAAAGAAAAGGAAGAAAAAGAAAGGTATTGGAACATCTATATATCGTAGATCTAATTCTCTTGTACAAAATGGAGTCCACATGTCACCAAGTGCTTGTTATGCTAAACGAGACTTTGATCCTAATATTTGTACTACACCCGTCATGAGTAAAAGTCATGGTGAGCATAGAAGACGCAGCTCTGAACCTAATATATATGAAGAAATACCTGAAGCTGTTCTTGCACATGATTCTGAAATATGTTCAGGAAGTATAGGTGGTTTTTCATTAGTACATAGAAGAAATCATCCAAGTCGTAGTAGGAAATCAGGATATCCTGTTTCTGATGATTGTACAGCAAATGTAGTTTCAGACGAAGTCGCAAAAGTCCAAAAACGTCATGCACAGATTTTAGAAAATTTAAATTTAGATGTTGAAGCAATGTTAATGCCTGATGATTCTGCTTGTTCAGAAGAACTTGATGTAAAAGAAATTAATGTTAGTCCTGAAAGACGAATTGAAACTTCTGCTAAGAATACTCAGTCACCAGGAACACCTCCATTGTATTTTCCATCTTCAAGATGGCAAAATACTAATCAGAATAAACCTCAAGTTATTTATCATGGACGACGTGTCATGAATGAATATATTTTACAACAATCAGATTTCGGTGGCACTTCTGTATCATCAAAAGGACAATCACATCAAAATCAGAAAGGTATTTTTTAAATTTTTATACTTACCATATTTAATTTAATAATACTAATAAAGTTGCTCTCACATGTTATAACTTAATTTTAAATACACTTAATGGTTTTTTTTTTTTAACTTTTGTATGAATTCATTTAGATTAACTATTGTTTCAGCTGTAAAATTAGCTACTTTTCAGATTAATAAATAAATAAAAGAAAGATTCTTGTAAATATCAAGCATTATTTTTATAAAATTAAAAAGTAATTAAGAAATATTATCATCCTAAAAACATATAGTTAAACAATTTTAATCATTATTTAATTTAATAAATAGATTTACACTAAATAAATAAATTTACACTAAAATTAATTTTAAAATATATGTGCATTTACACTGTATATATTTACTCTGTATCAAATTATTAATTTTATATTAAATTAATATAAAATTAATAATTTGATACAGAGAAAAAAAATAATTAAAGAAAATTAAAATATAGGCTAAATTAAAGGTAAATCAAAGTTTGAAGTAATAAAATCTTTTTTTGAAATATTGTAAGCTGTAAAATTTTTGTGAATTTATGTTGCTTTAAATCTATAACATTTAATTTGTAAAATAAATTACTTTTTGAACTGAAAGAAAAATATTTTAAATTACAAAATTTGAATTTAAATGTTAATGAGTTTTTAGTCCTTACAATGTGATCCATGAAACTATTTTTATAGCACAGTAACTAAACTATTATTTATTTTCAATTATGATTATAATTTAAATATCAGTATGTTGCTTGCATTCTATTAAGATTACTTCTTTTCAATTCTTTATTTCTGATGCAATTCATGAATACATTGTTAAAGTTAATGAAAACTTTTCTTAAATCAAATTAATAGGTAACATTTGGAAATGATATTGCAGAACTCTTAAAAATTTTTTGATATAATAATCAGGGCTAGGGAGTCATGTAAAAATTTACCGATTCCAACTCCAACTTTGCCTTACCATCCAACTCTGACTGGGGAGGACTTGTACCAAGATAGACCCGAAATTCTGATGTCATCACGTGACCTCAGAATAAAATATTCAATAAATAGAGTTTTAATAAAGATAGAACATAGAAACTTTTTTATTCCAAAGCTAAAAGACTATCCTAAGTAACAACACAGTCAATATATAAATATGTATTCAATAATTTTTACTTTCCTGGCTGTTATATATAATAGGGGGAAAGTGTAGCAATCGGTCAAAAAATGACCCCTCCCAAATTTTTACATTTTTGACTCAGGACACCTTAAAATGTTGAGATATGCAAAAAATTTGGTTTTTTTCCCCTGTATGCATGGATGTTAGACTATATGGGGGAACAATTTATTTACCCTGTTTGAAGCCTAATAACTTCTATGGTTTTTAAATCAGAGTTGGATGGTTTAACTTGGGAGTTATTAAGCTTCAAAGTGGTTGAACTAAATCATGCCCCATACATATTCTAACATCTTAGGCAAGAACATCTTAATGGGTTTTACTGTACTATTATAAAATGACAAAAAGCTTAATTTTGAGAGTAGAGAGACAAGTTTTATTTCTTATTTTAAAATTGTGAATGCTAATAGCAAGTTAAATATTCATTAAATTTGACTGTACTGGAGATATGACACATGACCCCTTCTATGTCTTTACCCTGTCAACCTTTAATTGAGAACCAAAATTTAATAGCATTAATGCCCCTTTATACACAAACTACAGTGCCAAATTTCATTTCTTAAACTTTACCCATTCTGAGATATTTTTAATATCTCAGAACACAGAGTAAAGCAATTAAACAAATTAGACGCCAACACATGCACACGAATTTTTCCCCTTTAATTTTTTTGGGTTTGGGGGGTCTCCAAACATGTAGATTTGCAAAATATGTGGAGTCAGTGGATTTTTTGACGACTCCAACTGAAACACCAAAACTCTGTGACTCCGACTCCACAGCCCTGATAATAATCCAACTGATATAGTTATTTTATCATAATTGGATTTCAGAAATATATATTATTATAGCTTGCAAATATCAGCTGGATTTCATTTAAGTAAACAATTCCATTTGTTATTTCTTCAACAACTTTTAATGCAACTGCTAATGTATTCAGATGTATTTATTAACCATCTTCAGGCAAACCTGTAGATAACATCACATAAATAATTATAGAAAAAAAAAAGTCTTGCATTCCATACACTAAAGTTTTGTCATGTATGGAATCTTCCATTCCATTCATGACAAAACTAATAAAAAAGCCAATCTTTAATGTGCATAACGTCATACTTGTAATTTTATTATTGTCAATTCTAATATACACTTTAAAGTTCAATATGCTTTAATTTTAATGTTTTATTTGGTTATTATTATATATACTTTGTGATTTAAAAACTTTTTGTTTCTGCTTATACACAAATTTTGTAAATATGCAATGTAATACATTTTATAATATGCAAAATATTATATCTACTACTAATACTATATGATCTGCCAGATTTTTGGCAGATTATATTAAGACTAATTAATGATCTGAAACTAGGTGAGAGTGATAGGCAGTTAACTTACCATCTTGTGATAAATTTAATAATTATAAAGTAATTCAATTTTCATCTAGAATACTCTGGAAGAAAAACAGGATGAACCCACAACTTCTGCTTATGGTGCAGTTGCATTTCCAGTTGTGTTTCTTGGACCTTCATCCAATCTTTACTCCCAGACTTATTAATTTAGATATGACCATACTGGTTGGTCACTTACTGATTTTATATATATATTAGTAATATCAAATTATTGGATTTTTATTTGGCTATATATATATATACTAGTAGCCCGGGACGCCCCCTAGTAGGCGTTCCAGCAGCATTACAAATTCCTGAGGCATGTTTAATGCACTTAATATATGAAAGTTGTGTGCGCTTAATGTTTAAAAGGTTGATGCAGTTAATATATATAAATGTATACAATTCTTCATCTTAGAAACTAAACTTAAAATATCAATACACAAACAGCCAACAGTATTTGTACATGAGAAAGTGAATCTATTCTTTACTCAAAATTGTTCAAATAAATAGAATTAATATGATTAAAAAATCAAGTATAAATATATACAAATGTTCATGTTAAAAAGTAATGTTAACAGATCAATACACAGCAAATAGTATTTCTGTATTACAGACTGAAGATATTCTTTAGCTGTGTTCTGTATTCCATCATTTATCCCATCATAAAACTTCTGTATACACAACATTGTTGGTAAAAAAAGTATAATTATTTGGAATCAATTTGCCTTGTTGTGACATTTTGTCTTCTGTGTCGTTTTGCTTCTGCCTGCCTGTGCAACATTGCAGATCTGAGCTCATGAGTTTCATTCTGCAAGCCTCCACGTGTTGATTGTGCTATTCTCTGTAATGTTTCCTGCGCACGTCTCTCCCTTTGTCTCGCAGCAGTGGCAGCTTTACGTTCCCCCACAGTGGCGTATTTCTTTGGTCGTGCCATGAAAGGTTTCTATTATTATATTAAAATATTAGCTTAACTATTTCACTTATCGTTTTATCGTAGCGGTTCAAATCTATCCGGTTTTTCGTTATTCGCCCTCTAGTGAACATTACAGGCATTCCGTGACAATAATAAATTCCTATTACAAATATACTGAATTATTTATATTGTTATATTGACCAAATAATAATTTATTGGCCAAATGAATAATAATAATTTATATTGTTAATTTAAATAATAATTAAAATTGTTAATTTAATTTGAATGTTTGAAATATGACACACGATAGGGGCGCCTCTAGTGTCGGTTATCAAACGGTTACGGGACGGACGGACGGAAGGAAGGACGGACACCTGTTGAATGGGTTATATATATAGATATATATATAGCCAAATAAAAATCCAATAATTTGATATTACTAATATATCAGTTTATGATTATATATAGTTACACCAACTGTCAATACTGTCTTTTATGTTCTTAAAATTTGTTTGTTCTTTAGAACATAGTAATTTAAACAAGTAAATTTGAAATCTAGTTAATCAGGATAAAAATATATTCTTGAAATTTGGTTTATTTTTGTTTAGTTTGTTGAATTACAATATTATAGTGTTACATTTCTAATTGTATTCTATTTATTTACTTGGAAATAATAAGTTTTGTAAGCAAGGAATTAGTTTTATAAACCAAATGGAATATTGTAATTAGTAATGGAATGGCAATTAGTGANCCGGTTTTTCGTTATTCGCCCTCTAGTGAACATTACAGGCATTCCGTGACAATAATAAATTCCTATTACAAATATACTGAATTATTTATATTGTTATATTGACCAAATAATAATTTATTGGCCAAATGAATAATAATAATTTATATTGTTAATTTAAATAATAATTAAAATTGTTAATTTAATTTGAATGTTTGAAATATGACACACGATAGGGGCGCCTCTAGTGTCGGTTATCAAACGGTTACGGGACGGACGGACGGAAGGAAGGACGGACACCTGTTGAATGGGTTATATATATAGATATATATATAGCCAAATAAAAATCCAATAATTTGATATTACTAATATATCAGTTTATGATTATATATAGTTACACCAACTGTCAATACTGTCTTTTATGTTCTTAAAATTTGTTTGTTCTTTAGAACATAGTAATTTAAACAAGTAAATTTGAAATCTAGTTAATCAGGATAAAAATATATTCTTGAAATTTGGTTTATTTTTGTTTAGTTTGTTGAATTACAATATTATAGTGTTACATTTCTAATTGTATTCTATTTATTTACTTGGAAATAATAAGTTTTGTAAGCAAGGAATTAGTTTTATAAACCAAATGGAATATTGTAATTAGTAATGGAATGGCAATTAGTGAATTTTTTATTAATAAAATAAAAGATTGAAGTTAATTAAAAAAATATACAGATTCACAGTTGAGATGCTGCTTTCTTGAATACATTATCCAACTTCTTTATGAATTATATTTATAAATTATTCACTTTTT